ACATAAAAGTTTTACTTTAAAGCACATTTTAAATCGTTGTTTAAATAATTTTTTGTCATTTTTTCAAAGTACAATTATTTTGATGTGTTGACCAACTAAAGCTCAAGTACTTGATTATATTTTAACTGTAATTTAAACTTAAATTTAAATTATATTATAATTTTAACTGAAGTGCGTTATTTGCTACTGCATTCAAAGTTAATTCTTTTAAAATGTACTTCATTGCCACTTTATCATTAATGTTCAAAATATATTAAAATAGATGACATTCAAATTTCAATAGAAATGACATTAGTTTACCATAATGTTTGTATTATATAGTATTTGGCAGTACACTTTAACCATATTTCAAAGACAACTAAAGTAATTATAAAATTACATAAAATAAAGATGTACTTAAAGGGATAGTTCAGCCAAAAATGAAAATTCTGTGATAATTTACTCACCCTCAAACCTGTATGAATTTCTTTCTTCTTAACACAAAGGAAGATATTTTGAAGAATGTTGGTAACCAAACAGTCGATGAGGCTCATTTTACACCATATTAGCCCCTATGGGGCCCATCAACTGATTGGTTAACCATATTCTATTAAAATATCTTCTTTTTAATTTCCCTTTAAGTGGGTCAAAAATCACTCTTAAATTCAACTAATTTGATATTTAGGTAGCATACTCTTTTTAAAAGTATGCTAAAGTGTACTTCTTTTTCCCAAGGGAAATATCTAAAAATGCTAATTCCATTTTGGCCATTCTAGTGACCGAACTATTGGACAGTTGTGCACCTGCTCAAAACCTTTGTCTCTGACCTTGTGCTGTTTCTCTCCCTCCTATTGACTCTAATCAAATGTGTGACCTACCATCTCATGGCTCTCCAGGTGCAGTTCACACTCAATACTAATAAAGAGCCTCACTGCCGCCCCCTGCAGGCTGACTCGCACCTGCCCCCTCTGCATTAACTCACTGCCGCCCCCTGCAGGCTGACTCGCACCTGCCCCCTCTGCATTAACTCACTGCCGCCCCCTGCAGGCTGACTCGCACCTGCCCCCTCTGCATTAACTCACTGCCGCCCCCTTCAGGCTGACTCGCACCTGCCCCCTCTGCATTAACTCACTGCCGCCCCCTGCAGGCTGACTCGCACCTGCCCCCTCTGCATTAACTCACTGCCGCCCCCTGCAGGCTGACTCGCACCTGCCCCCTCTGCATTAACTCACTGCCGCCCCCTGCAGGCTGACTCGCACCTGCCCCCTCTGCATTAACTCACTGCCGCCCCCTGCAGGCTGACTCGCACCTGCCCCCTCTGCATTAACTCACTGCCGCCCCCTGCAGGCTGACTCGCACCTGCCCCCTCTGCATTAACTCACTGCCGCCCCCTTCAGGCTGACTCGCACCTGCCCCCTCTGCATTAACTCACTGCCGCCCCCTGCAGGCTGACTCGCACCTGCCCCCTCTGCATTAACTCACTGCCGCCCCCTGCAGGCTGACTCGCACCTGCCCCCTCTGCATTAACTCACTGCCGCCCCCTGCAGGCTGACTCGCACCTGCCCCCTCTGCATTAACTCACTGCCGCCCCCTGCAGGCTGACTCGCACCTGCCCCCTCTGCATTAACTCACTGCCGCCCCCTGCAGGCTGAATCGCACCTGCCCCCTCTGCATTAACTCACTGCCGCCCCCTGCAGGCTGACTCGCACCTGCCCCCTCTGCATTAACTCACTGCCGCCCCCTGCAGGCTGACTCGCACCTGCCCCCTCTGCATTAACTCACTGCCGCCCCCTGCAGGCTGAATCGCACCTGCCCCCTCTGCATTAACTCACTGCCGCCCCCTGCAGGCTGACTTGCACCTGCCCCCTCTGCATTAACTCACTGCCGCCCCCTGCAGGCTGACTTGCACCTGCCCCCTCTGCATTAACTCACTGCCGCCCCCTGCAGGCTGAATCGCACCTGCCCCCTCTGCATTAACTCACTGCCGCCCCCTGCAGGCTGAATCGCACCTGCCCCCTCTGCATTAACTCACTGCCGCCCCCTGCAGGCTGACTCGCACCTGCCCCCTCTGCATTAACTCACTGCCGCCCCCTCCAGGCTGACTAGCACCTGCCCCCTCTGCATTAACTCACTGACGCCCCCTGCAGGCTGACTCGCACCTGCCCCCTCTGCATTAACTCACTGCCGCCCCCTGCAGGCTGACTCGCACCTGCCCCCTCTGCATTAACTCACTGCCGCCCCCTGCAGGCTGACTCGCACCTGCCCCTTCTGCATTAACTCACTGCCGCCCCCTGCAGGCTGACTCGCACCTGCCCCCTCTGCATTAACTCACTGCCGCCCCCTTCAGGCTGACTCGCACCTGCCCCCTCTGCATTAACTCACTGCCGCCCCCTGCAGGTTGACTCGGAGACGGCATCAGTAGCTCTAAACACAAACCCTGCTCAATCATGACTTCTTTTTGCTTCATGTGTTGAATCTAGTTTGGAAGCTTTCAGTAAATTCAGATTTAAATATCTTTCTGTTCTTCACACAAAGCTACACTTGATGAGCTAAAACTTCACATACACACTCTGGGGACATCAGAGATTTATTTTACATCTTGTGAAAATCCAGGGCATAATACCACCCCTTTAAAGGTTATCCCACCTCCCTTTTCAAACCGTCTCCAAAGCCACGACTCCTCCAAAACACATGAACGTGCACAGCAGATTCAGCAAAGCGTCTGGTCACAAGAGACGGCATTAAATTACCTCATGTCTTAAACCACATAACAGTACAATAATAAACAACGTAAACAACTTACAGAGCTCTTATTGTACTACCTGACTGCTGCAGATTACTTTCAGCATTGATACTGTCGACATAGAAATGCATAAATCCGAGTCTGAGGACGTTAACAGCTCCTGGTAGAACGTCACGGGTTGCCATCTTGTAATTACGGTTACGACATGGTGTGAACGCAGCATAAGCTCGTTGGTTTGGTTCATCAGGAACGGTCTGTCTGTCTACAACTCTGCACAGCCTTCTGAATGCACCGATGACGTGTGATGCGCGAGCAGGGTGCGTGGAGGTATGGAAATACATTGACAGGAAAGTATTTTGTATCATCGCTTTCGGCCCGAAGGCAATGATTGGACGAACATTTTTTTTGGTCCTGCTACTTCCACAGAAGATATAAACATGTTTTGATATTTAGACCACTTCTAGATTTGATTGCTATCAGGATGTGAAGAGAGTTTCAACCAGTATAACAAAAAGTGTTATGTCTTCATACAAAAAGATTGAAGAATAATTGCACAACCACCAAATAGGTGGCATTATGTACTAAGTGTGTAAATAGCCATAAACAAAAGAAGTAGAAAGGCACATTTTTACTTAGTGCCAATGGTGACTCGTCGATTCGTCACTCTGTTGAGAATGTCTTGTGTTAAGCCTGAACATATACTCTGGGTTGGCTGTCCTTACTCCCGGATGCATTTTTGGAACCAGAATACCTCGAGTAAGCAAGGTTTGGGTCAATCAACCGAGAGTTTAGGGTGTGTTTGACGGTAAGATAACCTTGCTTTCTGGATTCAGTTTGATTCTCAGGAAAACACCAAACCAGTACAAATGTCTAACTTGAATGCACAAAAGTCACTTTGGGTAAAGGATCTGTCAAATATGTCAATCTTAATAAATGTATGTTTCTCACCATTGTACATTCTTGTTTAGGGTTTGGTTTGGTTTGGTTTTATCCCTGTGATGGAGTATAGCTGGTTGGACAACAAAGTCTAAGTTAGTTGATTTATTGTCTTTGGCAGGTGTTTCTCTGTAGCAGGTCAAAATACAGTGTTCCATGCAAGAGCCACAGGGCATATAGTTGTATGTATGAACATATTTTGTGTGTCATGCCTGACTACGTCATTGTTATCTGTTTGCATAAGTTCTTCTCTGTACTATACAAGCAGCTGATGCCCAGGTAACTAAACAAACATAATTGCTCAATACCCTGAGACTTCCTGGTTTTCTCAATGTCTTTTTTGTCTTTAGGTATAGTGAACATCACCTGTAGAAGTGGCTTTGCACAGACAGTGATGAAGATTTGATATATAAATCTGCTGAGCTGCAGGGACGACTGCTGTTGTTGACACTGTAAACTCGTTTTTTTTTTCTTCAGTGAAACTGGGTGTGTCTGTTTCAGAGGATTTTAATCAACTGCGTTCAAACACAGCCTTGCATGAACCCAAACAGATGAGTCTTGGGCTCATGCACCCCAAAGGTAATCTTTCTGGTAGACAGACCACCTTCTTTGACATATCAACGTGACTTCAAATCCTCACGAGATCTGCAGACATATGCAAAGCAGACAGGCTTGTTGGGTTTCGCCTGCATGGAGATGTAGGCTTTAATAACACGACGGGCTGGACTTTGGCCCCTCTGTAGGCCGACAGGTGATCTTACGAAGGACCGTTTCTCAATTTAACTGGATTAATCCCTGATTCATTCCATGGAATCTTTTTGAGGTATGTTGTTGTTGTTGTTCAAGATATTGAAGTTCTTAGAATAACTTTTAGGTTCAGTGAAAGGAGCATGTGGTTTAAAATCTGAAATCTGTCATACCTGTTCTAGGCCGTGAAAAAATAATGTAGTAAGACAAAATGTACTCATGTGCAATAGCACATAAATATGTATGTATGTATTAAGGGAATACTTATTTTATGATGTATATTGTGATATATAAGTTAATAAAGATAGAAAAGCATATTAGTAATGTTTTGAGCAGAAAAGCTTAATAGTTTGAATGACTGGAATATCTGGAAACCTGTGACAAATTTGAAAGATATTTGGACACAATGTTCATGACAAAGAGACACACCTATACGCTTGAATGCAATCAAATGAATGTACTAATCATTTCAGGGTTGTGTCCCAACAGTTGGCCTGCCTGTTTACAATCATGTGCATTTAGTTTAGGATGCTGGTGTGACGATTACTAAGGAAATATGGATGTTTTTAGACTGGGTCTTTTTCTTCTGATCACCATGGGTGAGTTTTCATATTCAGCCACAGTCATGCATTGAAATAAATACATTTCTTAATCAATATCTTTGTCCTTTTTTCCAGTAAAAATATATTTTCTTTAAAACAAGATACATTTGCTTGTTTTTTTTTTCACTCACTAGTAAATTAATTTTCTTTTTAAAGTGTAAACCACACAAAATGTATTCTAAAATGATATTATTTGAAAACAAGTCTTGTTATGTTACACAATTTTGCTTCTTACTGATGAAGAAAACCCACATCCCTACAGAGGTTAACTGGTTTGGAGAATGGATGAATGGATGGATGTATGATTAAGAAAAATATTTTCAAAGTGTGGAACACTTTTAATACAGTTTCATTTGTAATTGTGATTTACAGACTTTGAAAAGTCATTGAAATTAGTGCAATCTTACAAAGTACTGGTCATGGGATTGATGGGAATGCAGACCGCGGGGCAAGTTTTCACATTTTATTCTAGTCTATATTTCTTAGGGCAGGTCTATATTTGATTTGATCACACTATATGAAACTGTCATTAAAAAGCTACATTTATTATTTTTTTTAAATTGTAATTATTAAATTGTGTAAATTGAAAACATTTTAACTTAAAATGTTAAGTTAAAATGGTTTCTTAAACCTGTCATTTAAGAAAATTACAAAAAGATGATGACAAATTTTAGTTCGAAAGTCCAATTTCACAAAAACTAATTGCTAGAAAAAAGAAAGAAAAAAACATTTGTGCAATTTTAACACACTCAAACTCCACAAATATGTGTAATTAATTTTGGACATTTGACAATTTTTACTGATATAGCCATGATGACAACTAGCCCAGCTCTTTATTAATGCACTTTTGTTTCATTTCAAAAGGGAAAACCATAAGAAGGTCTAGAGTATAATTACATATAATGTTTATTTACTAGAACAAATGATTTATGATAAGAACCCACCACCACCACCACCTCTTTGGAAGTGTTTTGAATCATTTGATTTGTCATATTCCCAGCAGGAGTGTCTGCTGAGATGCAGCTCCAGCCTCTAAGTGCAGTGGCGCTTCGTGGTTCCAAGGCTCGGTTCAACTGCAGCACAACTCTGACCCCATCTGCCATGACCTGGACATTCAACAGATTCTTGGTTGTCACCATTATAGAAGCATCTGGAGTGCTGATCACCGCAGACCGCTTCTCTGTCACAAATTTCACCACGCCTGGAAATTACAAATGGGAGTTTATAATTAGCAACGTGCAGAGAAGCGATACTGAAGTCGGTTGTCAGGGAATGGGTGGAGAGCGTCAGTTGGCCACACTGTCTGTGCAAGGTGAGCTATTGTGAATCGTTTCACCTGATCATGCCACTATGATACAAATGACGTATGGAGTTTGTTTGGAGACTAGAAAATGTTTACAGATATGACAGAGAGTGAAATATGAGAGCATGAGATGAGAGCAAGTGTTATATATATATAATAAACAGAAATTAAAACTTATAAACCTATAACAAATAAAATTAACTTTCTATTCATCAAAGAATCCTGAAAAATGTACCTAGGTTTCTAGTTGTAGCACAACTGTTTTCAACTGTTGATAATAAAAACAAAATCATATTAGAATGATTTCTGAAGGATCATGTGACACTGAAGACTGGAGAAATGATGCTGAAAATTCAGCTTTGCATCACACAAGTAGTTATTTACATGGGTACAGCTGAATCTTTTTTGAATGTCTGTATGATCCAGGCCTTTCCAGTCTTTTTAAGAACATTAAACAAGGATCCAAGTAAACATTTTAAAGCAGACAAACACAAATGCATGATTTGATCTCTCTTAAGATTTTAAATGAGTGTTATTTTACTCTTATTTCCACTGTGATATTGTTTATTCTTGGGTTGCATTTTGCACAGATTGCATTTGGCTTTACAGATTTGATAGGAGTCAGTTTATTAAAACTCTCTGTGTTCAAACTAAGTACTACTGCTTCTCAAATGCAAGGCTGCAGCCTTAATATTTTTTTTTCATGGTTTGAATGTTAAATTATACTCCACAACAGCGCATACCTTCTTGCTTAAAGCTTTGTCTTTGAGCCTGAGTTCCAGCCCTATGCTGATCTTTTTTACAACCTTTAAGCATTACTCAGCTATTTAATGCATGACAGAGCGTAAAATGCAGCATGAACATTCCCAGAGAGTCTCCTTAAATATATCTTCGCTAACTATTGCCCTCATCAGCACTTAATTAACCCTTGTGGACCAAAACGCATCTATCAACCAAATAACAGGAGTAATTGTTTCTCCTAAACAACAATGACCAAACTGAGACTTAGGAATTTCACTTAATATTTCAACAAGGTCCCAAACTGTTCTCAGATTTGCCAAGACAAAGTCAAAGTTGTATTTATTGTATGTATTTTAATAGCTATAAATTTTAAACTCAATACTCTGTAATTTCTGTTTTAATTTTATAAGCCTATATAACCAGGGACAGGGGTTGCAAATTAGTCATGGCTAGAAACCTGTATGCATGGCATACTTTGTATTCTTTATAAAGCAATGTTTTATGCATTTGTCCCTGTCAAATAAACATTAAATAAAACGATCGCAATAGAAACTCAAATATTCTCACCATTTTTCTCCTAATCCAAATGATATTCATTATTACATTTATAATATATTATTTTATATTTTAATATTACTTTAGTCTATACACATGGAAAAATAAGTTAACACTTTAGTTTAGGGTCCAATTCTCACTATTAACTGGTTGCTTATCAGCATGCATATTACTAGGATATTGGCTGTTTATTAGTAATTATTCTGCATGATGCATTCCTAATAATCCCCAATGCCTAAATGTAACAACTACCTTACTAACTATTAATAAGCAGTAATTAGGAGTTTACTGAGGCAAAAGTCATAGTTAATAGTTAGTTAATAGTGAATTGGACCCTAATGTGACCAAAAATAACTTACACTAGTATATTCATTTCTTTCTATTTCTATTTCTCGCCAGCTAACCATGAAACGTTTTCAAGTCAAGGTTTGAAGGAACGTCCTTGCAGTAAAGTTAATATGTTCATTCAAAGTTATCTGGTGTTTAACCCTCTGGGGTACTTCGGGACAAAAATGTCCCGAAGCGTTTTTTTTTTTTAAAAATGTTAAAAATTGTAGCTTCATCGGAATGGTCCAAAACTTGGTGACTTTTTTGGTACTTGGTATATAAACAACCAAAAAAATTGGGGACAGGATTTGAAAAGTCTAAGTGGTCGTAAAAAAAATATTCACACTCAGGACCTTCGGGTCAAAAATGACCCCCATAGGAAATGATTGGGAAATTGGCAAAAATTTGAAAATACAGAGTTTTTTTGTGCATACAATCTACAAAACAGCCAGGATGCAGAAAAAAAGCACGCAACAGTGAAGGGGTGAATCTCTTAAAACAATGGGTGACAAAATGTTTTCCATTTGTTCTCTTTATAATGCAATATTCAGGTTTGACTGTATTATAAAGTGAAAACTGCCACTTCAAATTACCATTTAAACCAACCAAAATTTTTATTTTATTTTTTAAATGACAAAAATAGTCTTTGAGAATCTGTTATTATATATTCAAATCAACAACCTGAAAAAAATTAAACAATCTGTGAAAAAATCACTAAAGTGTTTCTACCATAGGTTTCTACAGAGAGCTGTAAATCCACTAGTGGTAAAAATGTGCTATTGCGTGATAAAAATGCTCAGTGTGTCCACCAGATGGCTCCGATCTCATTTCAAAAATTGCTTTCATGAGGCCTAGACTTGACTCTAAAATGAAATACAGCTTTAATAATTTTTTTTTTTTTATTATATATATATATATAAATTTTCTATTAGATTCAATGGGAAAAATGGGTCTTAATTAATGCATAAATATTAATTATAAATCATAAAATTATCTCAAAACACCAAAAAAGAAAAGAAAAAATATTATTGAACAAAAATATATTTCATTGATTTTACTTAAATAAAATGTATCTTAATGCCGCCCTCCAGGTCATTTTTGACCCGAAGGTCCTGAGTGTGAGTCTAAAATGAAGTACCCCAGAATAATAATGTTCTTGAAACATTAGCACAAAAACGTTATTTATAAATTGTTCATGGAACTTTTTTCCTGAAAAGTTTTAGTTTGATGTCCGGTTAACTTAAAAAAATAATTATAAAATAGAATGTTCCCTTATTGTTTGTATAACAAAGATAAAACATTTAATTGTACTGGACATTTTAAATGTTCAGAGAACAATCAGAAATAAAGTTTTTTCATAACTTAATGGGAAAGTCAGCAAAATGTTCTTAGAACATATTTTTGTTAGTTGGGTCCTTACACTGATTCATATAACAAAACAAAACTAAGAACTCCAATAAGTCTCCTAAGCCATGAAAGAGTAACCTTTGAGCAATAAAATGTTCCTCAACTGCAAAATAAACGACCCGTTTGAGGAACCCTTTGTTTCTTGTTCATTCTTTTTTAAGTTAATTTAGCTCTTTTTTTCCTTTTTAGCATGTTCTTGTCACTGTCAGATCAATGTTTTATTCAAATCGTAAGATTTCATCATAAAAAAATCTCAAAAGAAGTTTGATGTTGTTATTTTTCCATGTAGGCCTCAGAGTCTTCCGAATCAGACATTTTAACTTGAAAATAGAAAATTGGGACATTTTGAGTTTGTCCATCACGTACATTTAACTTCTTCATTCTTGAATGCATTATTATAAGTGAATGTTTTGCCTTACAAGATCTGTCAGTGCTTTTATAGTGGACCAAAGAAAGTACAAAGTGCAGCACAAGGCAAAACAAAACAGATGTTATCAGCTACACCTGTGAGTCACTACTTTCACCTGTCCTGCTGTCCCGTGGGAAATTATCCGATTACATCTCAAAGTGCAGATAATCAATAATAATCTACTTCTTAATTTAAAGTGGACCATGTTTCAAGACATGCTGAACCGTCACTAAAGCAAACTCACAAATCCATAGTGATTAGGGCAGAGTGTGTGTTTGAAGAGATAATTCTCCTCTGTTCTTCTCCAGAACGTGGCAGCGTCGAGATCGTAGGTGGAAATCAGACTAAAACGGAAGGAGCCCAGACGGAGTTCCAGTGCCAGGCCGTGGGCTGGTTTCCTGAGCCCAGCATGTCCTGGTCAGTTAATGGAGTGGAAAAATCCTGCAACAGAAGCTCTGTGCCACAGGGAAGTCTGTTTAACTCCAGCTGCACGTTGACGGTCACTGCCATCAAAAATTCTACTGTTCAGTGTCTGGTCACGGTACCTGCCCTGAACACACCGGAAAGCAACACTGTCTTTCTGGCCGTCAATAAGAACAGTACGTTTTTTACGAGTCGTCAACAAATATATTAGATCATAAATTCTAGTATAATCGGAGCTAATTGCAATGATAACTCTGCTGTGCTGTTTGACGCTTTAAAATGATGGTTGATGCGTGATTCTCTTGATTCTCTTATTTATTTCTTTTTTTTTTAAACAGCTAAAAGAGACCAGACAGTGTTGATCGCTATCACTGTTGCCTTCAGTGCTGCTGCTCTTTTGTTTCTAATCATCTATGGAATTGTTTTCTTCTGCCTTAGGAAAAGTGAGTATTTGTGGGCAGGGGCGGAGTGGGACCAAAAAATCTACCGGGAAATTTCGTAGACCACCGGCCCTCGTCGCCGGCAGGGCCGGATTAAGAGCCCCCTGGGCACAATGTCTTGTAGGTCCCCTCTTAGGCAGGCCAAATGTATATTTTGTCCAGGGACATTTTAATACGGCATTTACAGTTTTACTGATTTAAAAGTAACTTTGTTGTACTATGCTGGAGTAAAGTTCATAAATGGTCGTTCTTTCCCATAGGAATTTTTAAAACTATGTTGGGTGGACCTCTGTGCCTCTAGGGGGGTTCGGGGGCATGCTCCCCCGCAAGATTTTTTTTTACATTTTAAGGTTAAAAGCATCAATCTCGTGCTCTTTGAGAGATCAAAATTAAGAGCTTCAACCCATGAACTGCTCGTTGAACAAAGAAAAAGCATTGATTTGTACCAGGACAATAAAGAGGGCATCTTTTTAGTTATGAGAGTCTCAGTCTGCATTACATTATCAATGATGTTTTAGGATGCCAAACAATTATTATTATAATGTAATAATGATTTATATAATTATTCCTATGACGTAAAATCCATTTAGCCTATAAATGTACTATATAAATGAAAATGAATATTTCAAAAGTATATTTTAGCCTACATTACACTATAATATAGGACAATTAAAATATTTTTGTCCTAATTTCTTCATTTGCAAGAAATAAACCCTTGAGCTTTTAGGAGAAAACACCAGATAACCATGCTGATCGCGTGAGCAAAGTAATCACGCAGCACAGACAGGATGCCTATTCTTAAAGTCTTGTGCTGTTTTATAAAGACACAAAGCCATATCATGGTTTCAATTTTAGTGCGTTGGCAAAATATAACGCTAGAGACCTTAATATTAGGTTATACATTTTACATCTTTACATATGTGTTGGGAAAAGGGAGAAGAGAGAGTTCGGCAAAAGGCGGATTCGAACTCGGGTCGAGCGCATCAAAAGCTGCTTTCAAGCACTTCACGCCCTACGACCTACGCCACTGTAACGTTAGCTGTTTCGTAACGAGTGTCTTTTTGCTTTAAAGACAGGCACTTAGTGCAAATATACGCTCTGTTATAGAAAATGTTAAAAAAAAAAGTTTTCTTCCCCTCGCTTGGGCCCCAAGTGCGCATGGCGAATTTGCAATGAATATATTTTATCAGACCGGCCCTCGCGGCCTCGAAACAATACCGGCCCACCGGGAAAACTCCCGACTCTCCCGATTGCCACTCCGCTACTGTTTGTGGGGATGGACCACAATTTCCATACTATAGCCATATTATATAGTGAGCCAGATTTACGGTTAAGGTTTATATCGCCGCCTGCTGGCGTGGCATGCTCTTGACAGAGTTTTTTTGCGTTTTCATGTAGACGGAGACCGACCGAGCGTGTGTGGACGGGATTAAAAAAAAAAAAAACGCTGTAGGAAAAACTCCGGTTATAAAAATACCCGTGTCCGTGTGGACAAGGCCTTAGTTTCCCTCTGTTCAGTCAGTCCTTGTCGGTTCTTGTGAATGTTACCTTTGTGTGTGTACCCTTTGCCCGTCTGCCTACCTGTACCTGATTGTTTTGTTATTAGTTGTATTCTCTGTGTGTTATCCTGCCTGCCTGTTTGTACCTGTGAGCTAAGTAAATCGTTTGTATTGGAGCCTTTGACTTCGAGTCTTCTTCAACCCACACCACACCGTGACATAGACAAACAACATATCTTGTTTATGTAATTCTGGTCTTTATCTGGTATCAACTCATTTATTTTTTCTTTTCTGCAGAATCAGGCTACCAAGAGGCGGCCATGAGGTGAGAAATGAGCTTCAGTGTGTCTTTCGGATTTAGGAGTGATTTGAAAATACAAAATAACGTGAAATTGAGCAATTTTAAAATCTTTTTTGTTGTTAGTGACTCGCTAACTGTAGGACTGAGCTGCTGTTTCAGGGCACAAGTCCAGTCCCAGAATAGGGCGCCTGCCACACAAAATGTGCGAGGACGGGGCAACCAAGGATATATTACAGATGGACATGATGGTGTGTATGCATAAACAAACACACACTATCATCCCATATGTGCATGTTCTGGTTTGACCTAAATTATGTTGAACCAAAGTCTTTGTGGTGTATTCAGGTTTCACCTGAATTTTATATATATATATATATATAATATATATATATATGTATATAGGCTATGTGTATATATATATATATATATATATATATATATATATTGCTTCATATTTCGCTTGGTTTATTTGAATAAATAAATATAATTAAAATATAATATAATCGAATTTATTTTCTTTAAATAACTAAAACAGTTGGACATTCTAAATCATTTAACGTAAAAAAAAACCACCTAAAGTGCCTTAATGTAGCCTACTAAAACAGTGATGCTAAAAGATCAAATTCAGTATACACGTTATTGATAATGCATATACAGGCGAGCAGATCAGCCCAGAATATGATGCACTAAATGGTTAAGCATTGTATTTACAATGGTTTTCCATGGAAAATGCTTGCATTTATATTCTGGATTCATCTGCTTGCTTGTACATTGTATGCATCATTAATAAGATGTATATTGTATTTGGTCTTATATCTTTGACTTACTACATTAGTACTTAATACTGACTTTGCAAAGATAACTGGCTAGCAATGGAGGAAAGCCTGTGTTTTGCTCTCCAGGTGGGTGTCCAATAAGGGTATGACATCACATGGAAACTATATGAATAAGTGATTATTGCATTCAAAATCTGTTACAAAAACCTGACATGTTTCTGCACACAAGAAGCCTCATTTTACTTTATTTCATTGTCAGGTATTTTAATGTGAGGATTCAGGAAAGTATGAACTATAAACCATCATGTTAAATAGAATATAAATCTTTGCTTCTCTTTACTGCAGGACACACCAACGGCGGAGTCTGGGTTACAAACTTTAACAAACCTCAGGTGATGCCTCAGATCAAGCTTAAAGTCAACATGAAACCAAAACTTCACCTATTTACTTCCTTAACATATTCCTGATCTGGTTTATTGTTTATTATTATTATTCCAAAGAAACATTATTCCAAAGAAAAAGCTTAGTGCCCCTATTATGCTTTTTCGGATATTACCTTTCATGTAGTGTGCATGTAATATAGCTGTTTGTGAATGTAAAAGGTCTGCAAAGTTTCAAGGATCATAATGCACAAAAAATGTAGTTATTAATTATCTCTCAAAAGAAAGAACTGATTCTGAACTGCCTGAAACGAGTCGTCCGTAATTCCAGTCTTACTTCCTGCACAATCCTACGTAGGTTTGTAACAAATTTGCATGATGCCAGCCTATCTTCATTGGCTGACTGTGAACGTCTACTTTCACCCGCTCTCAAACAATGTAGCTGAGGCCTGGAAGAGTTTGGTTTATGTTGTCGACATGTCGAGAAGACACTGTTTTCTGTGCTGTGAATCCACTCTGCAAGCACTTCAAAAGGTTGAGGAGGACTCGGGATCGAATTGATATGGTGAAACTTACACCATCGTTAGAAGATCGGAAGATCTGGAGCTGAAATTCAGATATGGTAATGGCTGTTTTCGACACGCGCTGTAAGCGGTAGACCAATCATAGCAGACTGCGGCCATCAGAGCAGAGTAGACTCTTGGAAAGGCAGGGTTTTTAGAGAGACTGAATCTTCAGCCCGTTCTCATCCCAAGGCATCATATACTGACGCTTTTGCCAAAGCGTCGATATCCAACGCACATGGCACCCTTTATGCAATATGAGACGCAGATATATGGCGCCTCCTAGTGGTCTAACCCTAACACTACCCCAGACCTAAACCTATATAGCGCTATATTGACGCTAAAGGGTGCCATGTGCGTCGGATGTAGACACGTCAGTATATGACGCCTTGGGATGAGAATGCGTTGGAATCTTTTATTAAACCGTTTAAGACACTAAGAAATGAAGTGATGGTACAATGTATATTATGAGAATTTTTTTTTGACCTTGGATGCATATAAACCTGTTGAAGGAGAGCTCCAAAACTAAATTTGTTACCTTTAAAATAGCATAATTGTCATCAAATCTTTCATCAAAATGTAACTGTTAAAATCCACTTTGGCATATTTCACAAGAGAAAAAAATATATGGTGCATATTATGGAAGTAAAATGGGTTGTGAGTGTCTTTCATGTTGACTTCAACATTTCCATGCACTTAACTAGCATGATTATTTGTCAAGAATCCATATTATGATACAAATCTTTGGTTTTTCAGAATCTTGATGACTTTTTTGAAGATGGTCCCAGCAAGCACAGACACATGACCCTCGTCTAGAGACTGTTGGAATTCACAGAAAGCTGGTGTTCTGGCTTTATTCTCTCTTGTGCATAAAATCCTCATTTTAGGTTTAATTACAGAAGAAAGAAAGCTCGAGGGACTTCATATTTGCACCTGGACTGGATTATTTATTGGAACACAGAAGCATTTTCTCTGTGATCTCAGACTTTTGGACCCCACTGAATACTGTATATATTTTTACCAACAGTGAATGTTTGACATAATGAGCTCACATTTTTCCATATTTAACAGATAACATGATCAAAATAAGTGTGGTTGTGGGGTTGGTTAAGATCCACCAGTGTCTGTTAAGTCATATGAACAAAGTAGATCAGATTTTGTGTTGATTCATTGTAGATCCTTGCATGTGCACAATTAATGCATCAGATGCTTGCATTTCCACAGCAGGTTTGTTTGAATCATCCATTGAACATCCTGTTTTCTCCAGAATTATAAAATCATCAGCATATGGCACAACACACCCCGTGAGAGATTTGCTTCCTGTTTTTGTAGCTGCTTACAATTACACCAAAGATTTTTTTCATGTGAAGTGTTTAGAGAGGACCATCTTATGTGACACATCATGCTTCACGGAGCATGATGCGGTTAAACAATTAATCTAAACCACTGATCTTTAACTCCCCGCAGGAGGAAAACTGCTTAAACTGCTCAATTACATTATTTATAAAGTGAAGTGTCATGAAACGGATTGGAACTATATGGCAGGCATTCATATCACTTCATAATAAGAAATTCAGATTAAATTTACTAAGACCTTGTTGTAGTTTTCACTTATCTGCACCTTTCCCCACATTTCTACAGCACTAAAATCTATAAAATGATTTATAAGGATTTTAAACAACTCTGTTTTAAAAATCTAGGTATAACTTATGTGCTGCAAAATTGCTTTCACAAATGGACGTTTTACGAACTTTTTTGTCTCACCTTGTTTTTGCCCCTTGTTTTAAGCTTAAATCTCAGAAAATGTTGTTAGATTCATGTTTAAAACGCAAAAAAAAAAAAAAAAAATGCCAGTGAGATATGAAAATTTTATTTAACTCAATTCTTACCTAATTCAAGATATGCCCTTTAATATCTCACACTGGTTTTATTTTTGCTTCTCAGGATGTTTGGATATTTTATTCTGGAAAGAAAAAAGACAAAATCGTGATTAAAATCCTGAAAATTATATTTAACTAATTATTTTTGTCTGATAGACACCATATTTATATGAGCATGGTTCTTATGTGTTCATCAATAAACACATTTTTGTAAAATTATTTGTATTCATTTGTCAAATCTTAATGTGTGTGTATATACAGTGTAGCCTACATAAACATTTTGTTGGTCCCCATGAGGAAAACAGCTTATTCATTATTCATATTCAATAATGTTTTTTGAAAATGTAAAAATGCAGAAAGTTTTCTGTGAGGATTAGGGGATAGAATATCTACGGGCATCTTAGATCAAGTCCTAATTTGTTTAAAGGGGGAAACATGAAATCTCAAAAACTGCCAGCCGAACTCACAATTAAATGACATATTTCAAATCAGCAACAAAAATCTGACATGAATTGTCCCATAAATGCTGCTTCTAATGCTCAAATAGCATTAAAAAGCGTATTTGTAAAGCTAGACCAGCCAATGCGCATGTGCAGCCCTAAGCACGAGACATTAACGGACAGAAACGCTCTGCTTTCCTAAGATGTCGTATCAACGTGTTGCTGTTTGGAGGTGCCTTTTCAACAGTAGGCTAGAGCATCTCGCTGCAGTGGGCAGTGGCGTGTCTGACATTCTTATCCGAGCGCTCTACAGTCACTGTGTGAATATTAGCCCTCTTTCATCTTTTCCCTAAAAATAATAATGAATGTTCATAAATAAATAAATAAAGTTGCCTTAATGGCCAGCTGTAGGCTGGCGTCTATCCCCCTGTGGCTTGTTAAGCAGTGGAGTCTTCCTCTTCCTCACGCCTCACTCACTCCACCCAGATCTGAGCTGGCCGAGCAGCTGATATTCTCCCACTCATTACGACCACACCAAAGTCACTTCCTGTTATGTAACCAGCACTGTGTAGCTCCAAGACACAGATATGGAGAATCTCCAGTTTCATTCCAAAGTAAAGTAAAATATCCCGGAGAACCCTGTGGTGATGCCCTGTACAGTGATGGTATCAGCTGGTAATTTCACCACGGTGCTTCGATACTGTACCATGGGACTGAAAGATTACAGCATGGCCTTGTACGGTACTCCAAGGTATTTTAAATATCAATAGCTATTTTAATACCATGTTAGTCTGATATACACTATTTAATGATTACCATATATAATGTATTTATGGTTCTTTAAGTAAAAAGAATAAAAGTGAAAGAATAAGATGGCATTTTACATTAAAAAAAATATGGTAATTATCTTTTAATTGCATGACGATGGCTACATTTACAAAAAACATTGTACTTTGACATATACTGTACCATGGCACTGAATGATTACCATATAGAAGGTATTTGCATGGTACTCCAAGGTATTTTCTACGTATATCTATTTTAATATCATGGCATTTTGATATACACTATGGTAAATTGGTAATGATTAATATACAGTAATGTATTTAAATAGCATGGCATTTATATGGTATTTTAAGATGGCAATTTACATGTAAAAAACATCTGAAATATAATGGCAAGATCAGGGTTACATTTAAAAAACCTTTGACATATATCCATAAATACTGTACTAAGGAACTGAACGATTACGGTATAGCAAGGTATTTGCATAGTATTTTAAATATCAATTGGTATATTTTAATATCATGGTACAGTGATTCATGTAGCATTGCATTTATATGGTATGAAAGAATAATATGCAATTTTACATAGAACATTTTTTGTCGTACTGTAATTTATTTGTGGCAATGGACTAAAATAACTGTAGGATATCATCTTGCTCAGTCCTAAAACAGTCGAACCCTGATCTCTTAAAGAACATGGACTTTCAAAGTTACTGAAATCTTCAGAGAGTGAGCATGTAAAGATCTTGGCCCACTATTAACAACTTCTCAGATTCTTAATTCAGTTTGTTCGACTGACTGTCTTCTCAATGAAGCAAATGATCATGGATGTGAGAACCGTAAAGGTCAGCCAGACTCCACAGTTTATTTGTCCACACAATCCAGCGGGATCTTTCGCTAAAGGCACTCTGGGAGTTAATGAACCGCCGTTGTGTTTCGGGAAAACCAGGCAGAACTACAGGAACCTCTAAAACTGATGGTCTTGCCAGAAGGTACAGCTTGGTCTCGGGCAAAATTTAGGAGCTAATGACTGGAAAGGAATTATTATCACCTTTGCTCACAACCTTGCTTTTAAAGCTTTATCACTTTCTCACAATAAAACCCCCAGAGAGTAGCAAAACTGTCGGTTAGCCTTACAAGCCGAAGAAAATGTTTCTTTTGTGGTTGCATGTTGCATACTCACTTGAGACTCATTTCTGTCTGCGTATTATTTAAAATCTTGTGCTTTTTTGTACTAACAGGCCAATGCAGAGGAATTCATTAGCAAAATTATGCCAATGCATGTTTCTTCATATTATGCCACGAGGTTAAATGCTGAGCACAGATATTGCTTTATGGGGTTGAAATTTGACCCACAATGGTGGGCCGCCGTCCGAACAATCACTAATGTGCCCTAAAGCCCAGCCAATCCATTTTTATAAGCTCTAAAAGGGGGCAAAATAATGTTAAGTGTATTTAGATTTGATATATAACCAAAATTAATTTATTAAATTAACTAGGTAAATTTCAGCTTTTACATTAGTGGCTCTTTTGCAGTTAATACTACAAATCTGAAATCTCATTGGTCTGTTTGCAGTTTCATGCAGTGCAGCATTCGCATTAAAAACTCTATGGTTTAATCAAATTTTCTAGTCCAAAAAGCATACAGTACAGGCATACTGTAATCAAGATCTTTCTCTCCTCAGCACTAAAGATCCATGTACACAACAAAACTCATTTGCATCATTAATTAGGCCGATTAAAAATTTATTGTATATGATTCCATGGAGTTATTTGGAGCGAGGAGCAGCGAAATGTTCAAGTTTTCAAGGAGGCCAGTAATAATTCAGTGTCAGAGAGCCATTTACTTCAAATGAGTCCACTGTGAATTCATTACGGCACACAGCTAATGAAAGTGTATGCCAATGTAGTGTGGTGGGGTCACTGTAAAGTCTTCATTGAATATTTATAATCATTATTCATTATAAAGTTTAATAAACTTATATGAAAAAAAGAGTGGTGTTTGTCAATGTAAGGATTTTGATAGGCTGCCAATGATTTGATCATTTATCAGCTGGAAAAAGATGCTCTTAAAAGTGATTCTAAAGATATTGTCTGGACTTTTCCTGGTGTGGATGAGTCTAAATGATAAAGTGTAAAAAATATTTGACTGCATGGCGACAGCCCGAAAACTTCTTTATGATACTCCAAATGAGGTTGTGCGTTCAGTAGTAATGTCGAACGTTTTTCTCCCTGCAATTCCAAGTTTATATCTCACAATTCTGTGAGATATAAACTCAGAATTGTGAGATAAACTTGAAATTTTGTAAAAGAAAAGTATTGTGACATATAAACTCACATTTTTGAGAAAAAACTTGTGAGATAAAAGGTCATAGTTACGAGTTTATAAATTGAAATACATTTAAATGGAAATTGTTAGATAAACTCACAATTGTGAGAAAAAAGTCAGAATTGTGGTGGAATAAATCATGTGAATATAAATAAGTCAAAATTACCTTTTTTATGTTTTATTCCGTGGCAGAAACAAGCTTCCAGACAAAGGCGAATGTGAGGAAATATCTGGCTGCTGAATGCCATCATTGACCAATCAGAATCAAGAATTCGAGAGAGCTTTGTAATAAGGGTTAAACGGATAGTTCACCCAAAAATGAAAATTCTGTCATCATTTACTCACCCTCATGTTGTTCCAAACTTTTCGGAACAAAAATGAAGTTTTTTTTGACGAAATCTGAGCGATTTCTCTCTCTCTCCATTGACAGTTACACAACTACCACTTTGACGCTTCAAAGTTCATAGAGATCGTAAAACTAATCTATATAAATTGAGCAATTTAGTTCAAAATTTCAGAAGACATAAGATCGCTTTATATGATTAACAGATTGAATTTTTTATTCACATATAAATATTGATCAACGAACATAAACAGAAGCTCAACCGAACCTGCTTGATGCGCGAGAACAAACCTCCCTCAAAGCTCAAACGTGCTGCGTAACACGAAAAGGAACCTCATTGGTTCTTGCTGAAGCACAAACGTGCTGCGTAACAAGAGAATAAACC